AGGAGGAGGAGGTGCACAGGAGGAGCAGCAGGAGCAGAAGGAGGAGGAGGAGTAGCAGGAGGAGGAGGAGGAGGAGGAGCAAGAGCAGGAGCAGGAGCAGGAGAAATAACAGGAACATGATGATGATGATGATGATGATGATGATGATGATGGTGATGGTGATGGTGATGGTGATGGTGATGATGATGATGATGATGATGATGATGATGATGATGATGATGATCAGTATCATGATCATGGTGATGATGATGAGGAGGAGTAGGCGGAGAAGGAGGATGAGGATGAGGATGATGATGAGAGAGTGATGATAAGGATGAGGATGATGATGAGGCTCAGGATGAGGATTAGGATGAGAATCATGATGAGGATGATGTTGCTGATGCTGATGCTGATGCTGCTGATGATGATGCTGATGCTGAAGATGCTGGTGCTGATGCTGATGCTGATGATGACAATGACGATAACGATGATGATGATAATGATAATGGTGATGGTGATGGTGATGGTGATGATGGTGCGATGATGCTGATGCTGATGCTGATGATGCTGCTGCTGATGATGATGCTGATGATGCTGATGAGGATGATGAGGATGCTGATGCTGATACTGATGCTGATGCTGATGCTGCTGATGATGCTGCTGATGATGATGACGATGCTGATGACGATGATGATGCTGATCATCATGATGATGCTGATGATGATGACGGTGATGATGCTGATGATGATGATGATGATGATGATAATGATGGTGATGGTGATGGTGATGGTGATGGTGATGATGATGATGATGATGATGATGCTGATGCTGATGATGCTGATGCTGATGATGATGATAACGATGATGATAGGGGAGGAGGAGGAGGAGGAGGAGGAGGAGGAGGAGGAGGAGGAGGGAGCTGCGCGGCAGACAAGGGCGGCCGCGCAGGGGAAGAGAGGCGGGGTGGGGGTGAAGGGGGGGGGGGAGGAGGAGGACGGACGGAAGCAGGAGACGGAGAGGAGGGGTCGGTCGACGAGAGCGGTCAGGGTTCGGAGACTCGGCGGGCTCTTCACGACGCTTCACGCGCCGAGGACGAGGATGATGATGCTGATGATGATGATGGTGATGGTGATGATGATGCTGATGCCGATGATGATGCTGCTGATTATAATGATGACGATGATGATGGTGATGATTATGATGATGATGATGCTGATGATGCTGATGATGATGATGATGATGATGATTATGATGATGATGATGATGATGATGATGATGATGATGATGATGATGATGATGGCGATGGCGATAGTGATGGTGATGGTGATGATGTTGATGCTGATGATGATGCTACTGACAACGATGATGCTGATGAGGATGATGAAGATGCTGGTGATGATGCTGATGATGCTGATGATGGTGATGATGATGCTGACGATGATGCTGATGCCGATGCTGATGCTGCTGATTATGATGATGACGATGTTGATGATGATGATGATGATGATGATGATGATGATGATGATGATGATGATGATGATGATGAGCATGATGATGATGATGATGATGATGACGATGATGGCGATGGTGATGGTGATGGTGATGATGATGATGAAGATGCTACTGATAATGATGATGCTGATGCCGATGGTGATTGTGATGATGATGATGATGCTGATGTTGATGCTGCTGGTGATGATGCCGATGATGATAATGATAATGGTGTTCCTAATGATGATGATGATGAAGAAGAAGAAGGTGATGGTGATGTTGATGATGATGCTGATGATCATGATGCTGATGCTGATGCTGATGCCCCTGATGATGATGATGATGATGATGATGATGATGATGATGCTGATGATGATGATGATGATGAGGGTGGTGGTGAGAATGAGGATGAGGATGAGGGTGCTGATGTTGAGGATAATGATGATGCTGATGCTGATGGCAATGATGATGGCGGTGCTGCTGATGATGAGGAGGAGGATGTTGCTGATGATGAGGGTGAGGATGGTGATGATGCTGCTGATGATGATGAGGAGGAGGAGGAGGAGGAGGAGGAGGAGGAGCAGGAGCAGGAGCAGTAGCAGGAGCAGGAGCAGGAGCAGAAGCTGCAGGAGAAGTTGCAGGAGCAGGAGCAGGCGCAGGAGCAAGACAGGAGCAGGAGCAGGAGCAGGAGGGGGCAGCAGGAGGAGGAGGAGGAGAAGGAGGAGGAAGAGGAGGAGGAGGAGGAGGAAGAGGAGGAGGAGAAAACGGAGGGGGAGGAGGAGAACGAGGAGGAGGAGGAGAACGAGGAGAGAACAGAGGAGGAGGAGGAGGAGGAGGAGGACGACGACGACAACGACGACGAAGACGACGACGAGGCGCTGGAGAGCAGCATGAGCAGCTGCCCTCCGGGCCAGCTGACCGCCGCGGCCATCGTGGCCGCCCACGGCGAGGAGGAGGACCGCGTGGCGGGCCGGAAGGGGCCACCGACCCCGGCCCAGAGGAAGAGGAGGAGGAGGAGGAGGAGGAGGAGGAGGAGGAGGAGAGGAGGGTAGAGGATGCGGACGGAGGAGGAGCAGAAGGAGTAGGAGGAGGGAGGAGGAGGAGGAGGAGGAGGAGGAGGAGAAGAGGGAGGATTAGGAGGGAGGAAGAGGGCGGAAGAGGGAGGAGGAGAGAGTAGGCCGTCTGCTGCTGCGCTGCTGCTGATGCTCCTCCCCCTCCTCCTCCTCCTCACTCCTCCTCCTTTCTTCCTGCTCCTCCTCCCATCTCTCCTCCTCCTCCTCTCCTCCTCCTCCTCCTCCTCCTCCTCCTCTTCCTCGTCCTACTCCTTTTTTCATCTCCCCCTCCGAGGAGAGGCGGGCAGCCAGCGACTTCCGGCTGCCCCTGGGGCAGGGCGCCTCCCTCGCCCAGCTCGCCGCGTCTGGCTTCCCCGTGTTCGGGGCGCTGGAGTGGCTCGCGAGAGAGGCGTTCGCCGGGAGGGGCGGGAGAGCCTTCTCCTCCTCCTCCTCCTCCTCCTCCTCCTCCTCCTCACTTCCTCGTCGGTTCCTCCTTCCTTCCTCGTCCCTTCCTCGTCGCTCCCTCCTTCTCCTTCTCCTCCTCCTCCTTCTCCTCCTTCTCCTCCTTCTCCGTCTTCGTCTTGTTTCGGGCGTAGCCCGAATTTTTTTCTTGCGAGGTAAACTGGAGTGGACTGGATTGGACTGGACTGGACTGAAGGACTGAAGTGAATTAAACTGAACCGAACTAAACAGAACTGAACTGAACTGAACTGACTGGTCGCACTCGTTACGCGACGGTTCTACTCTCGGCGGCAGAGGGCGCAACCTATGGCGCAACCGATACGGGTCGGTTATATTGTCGGCCGCCGAGGGCGCAACCTATGACGCAACCAATAGGAGACGATTTTATTCTCGGCCGCCGCGGGCGCAACCCATGGCGCAACCGATAGAAGACGGTCTTATTCTCGGCCGCCGAGGGCGCAACTTACCTATGGCGCAATCGATAGGAGAGGGTTTTATTCTCGGTTGCCGGGGGCGCAACCTATGGCGCAACCGATAGGGGACGTTTTTTCTCGGCGGCGGAGGGCGCAACCTATGACGCAACCAATAGGAGACGGTTTTATTCTCGGCCGCCGCGGGCGCAACCCATGGCCCAACCGATAGGAGACTGTCTTATTCTCGGCCGCCAAGGGCGCAACCTATGGCGCAATCGACAGGAGACGTTTTGTATTCTCGGCCGCCGAGGGCGCAACTGATGGTGCAACCGATAGGAGACGGCTTTATTGAACGGCCTCCGGCCAGTGCCGCCGATCCGAGGCGCTTCAGATGCTGGTGGTAGACACGACGACGACGGCGACGACGACGACGACGATGGCGACATCGACGCCGAGAACGGTTTAACGGGAGGAGGGAGGCGGGAGGCGGGAGGTGGGAGGAGGGGGAGGGAGGAGGGAGGAGTGGGGAGGGAGGAGGGAGGAGGGAGGAAGGGGAGGATGGGGAGAAGGCGGAGGAGGAGGAGGACGAGGAGGAGGACGAGGAGGAGCAGCAGGAAGAGCGTGATGAGGAGGGAGGAGGGAGGAGGATGATGAGAACGATGATGAGGACGAGGATGAGGATGAGGATGAGGACGAGGACGATGATGATGATGATGATGATGATGATGATGGTGATGATGATGATACTGATGCTGATGCTGATGCTGATGCTGCTGCTGCTGCTGCGGATGATGATGATGATGATGATGATGATGATGATGATGATGATGATGATGATGATGATGAGGATGATGCTGATGATGATGATGACGGTGGTGGTGATGATGATGATGCCGATGCTGATGATGGTGATGCTGATGATGATGGTGGTGGTGGGGAGGAGGAGGAGGAGGAGCAAGGAATAATATGATGATGATGCTGACGATACTGATGATGCTGATGATGGTGATGATGCTGATGCTGATGATGATGATGCTCATGATGATGATGATGATGATGATGATGATGATGCTTATGATGATTATGCTGCTGATGGTGATGATGATGATGTTGATGATTATGATGATGATGGTGATGCTGGTGCTGATGATGATGGTGATGAAAATTTTGATGATGATGGTGCTGCTGCTGATGATGATGATGCTTATCATTATTATGATGATGCTGCTGATGATGATGTTGATGATGATGATGATGATGATGATGATGATGATGATGATGATGATGATGATGATGATGATGATGATGATGATGAATGAGGAGGCGGAGGAGGATGGGCCGAAGGAAGAGGAGAGGAAGGAGGAGGAGGAAGGAGGAGGAGGAGGAGGAGAGGAGGAGAGGAGAGACGGAGGAGGAGGAGGAGGATCAGGAGGAGGAGGAGGAGGAGGAGGAGGAGGAGGAGGAGGAGGAGGAGGAGGAGGAGGAGGAGGAGGAGGAGGAGGAGGAGTAGGAGGACGACGACGAGGAGGACGAGGACGAGGAGGCCGGGAGCGGGACCGAGAGCCGGGACCGGGGGCCGGGGTCAGGGCCGGGGCCAGGGCCGGGGTCTGGTTTGGGACCGGAGCCGAAGCCAGAACCTCGGCCTGGGCCAAAACTGGGACCAGGAGCCGGGGGCCAGGGCCGGAATTGGAGCCAGGGCCAGGGCCGGGGCCGTGTGCCAGGGATGCGTCGTGGGACCCTAGGGCGCATTTCAGCATCGTTGATTCATGTTGGGTTTAGAATGCGTCCTCCTCTTCCCTCGGCAGGAGGGGGCGAAGGGAGAGAGAGGGAGTGAGCGAGAGAGAGGATATGAGATGAGAGAAAAATGGTGTGAGAGAGAGAGAGAGAGAGAGAGAAAAAAAAAAAAAAGCAAGGAGAGAGAGAGAGAGAGAAAGAGCGAGAGAGAGAGAGGGAGAGACATGTGTATACATATTTACACACATCTTATGTATACGTTGAGATCGAGAGACAGAGAGATAATAGAGAGGAGCTGCTCTGATAGAGAGGGAGGCAGAAAAAGAGAGAGCCAGGCAGACTGAGACAGGCAGACAGACAGAGGGACAGACAAGCGGACAGACAGAGAGAAAGAGAGAGAGAGAGAGAAAGAGAGAGCTAGAAAGAGAGAGAGAGAGAGAGAGAGCGAGAGAGAGAGAGAGTGAGAGGAAACATAGAGGATATGGTATGAGAGAGAGGTAGAGGGAGAGAGAGAGAGAGAGAGAGAGAGACGGAGAGAGAGCCAGACACACAGACAGAAAGACAAACAGACAAACAAACAGACAGACAGACAGACAGACAGACAGAGGCAGACAGACAGACAGACAGACACGGACGGTCGGACGGACGGACAGACATAAAGACAGAGAGAGAGAGAGAGCGGGAAAGAGAGAGAGAGAGAAATAGGGAATATATATATATATATAGAGAGAGAGAGAGGAGAATGGCAACCATCAGGAGGACGGTGGAGGAGGGGTAGAACTGGAGGAGGGGTTCCGTGCTATCTTCCTGCTTCCTACACCTCCCCCTCCTCATCATCAGCCCTTCTTTCTCGTAGACTCGGCGATGCGGACCGTCTTGTCGAACGAGCGACCGCAGCCCTCGTGACCCCCCCACCTCCTCGTCGCGTGTATGGGCGGTGCAACGGCCAGAAGGAGGGGCGTCCCCCGAAGAGAGGGAGACCGACGGAGGGGCAGCACGAGGAGGAGCAACAGGAGGACAAGAGAGACTGTGAGAGAGGAGGCGGAGGAGGAGGAGGAGGAGGAGGAGGAGGAGCAGGAGGAGCAGGAGCAGCAGGAGCAGGAGCAGGAGGAGGAGGAGCAGCAGGAGGAGGAGGAGGAGGAGGAGGGGGAGGAGAGGAGGAGGAGCAGGAGTAGGAGGAGGAGCAGGAGTAGGAGGAGGAGCAGGAGCAGGAGGAGGAGGAGGAGGAACACGAGGAGAGCAGAGGAGGAGAGGAGCAGGAGCAGGAGGAGGGAGGAGGAGGAGGAGGAGGAGGAGGAGGAGGGAGGAGGGAGGAGCAGGAGGAGCAGGAGGAGAGGAGGAGCAGGAGCAGGAGTAGAGGAGGAGGAGGAGGAGCAGGAGGAGGAGGAAGAGGAGGAGGAGGAGGAGGAGGAGGAGGAGGAGGAGGACCGTAGCCATTTTGGCTCAAGTCCGTAGCGGTGGCTCAGAGGACGAGAGTTTGTGGCAAGGGGGATTGCGCGGCCCCCACAGTTTTGTCGGTACTGTACTGCGGCTTTGCCGCACGGTTTCGACACCACCACGTACTACACATCGGCTTTTTTCTCCTGTACTTGGCAGCGATGGCACCTCGTGATGCTTTCTCTTCTGCTTGGTATTGGAAATGTACTAAATGCAATTGTGGCAAGAATCGATGGCAATTGAGCTGGCGCAAGCACTGCAGGGCTCCATGGTCGGGCAGCGGGATGGTCACCCCCACTAAGTGGCCAGATGTCCCTGTCTCGCCCAAACCAGGTGCAACAGGCAGACAGGGGGGAGGCATTCCTGGGGCTCAGACTTTTGGGAACAATGATGCGTCCGCCAAGTCGCCTTTCGCTGCACTCACGGGCCCAAAAAAGCTCACTATCTCTGACTTGGAACAGTACATTGCGTTGCATCGGAAGTCAGGAAATGAGCTGCAGGCAGTCAAGTATGAGAAGGAACTGGCAGCAAAAAGGAAAGCAATGACACCACCACCGCAGCTTTCGACTCAGACTAAAGCTGGTAAGGCACACAAACAGGTCCACCATCTCGAGCGCCTTCTGCAGCAACAGGTGTCTGCTTTCGACAGAGTCACGCAGCAGCTGGAGCACCACGTCGATCAGATTCAAAGGCTGCAGGGCGAGCTCGAACTACACGAACTCGGGTATAAGCAAGCGATCGAGGAACTACATCTGGGCGTCAAAGATCCCGAGCTGCAGAAGTCGACCAAGGTATATATTACAGATGTCCTGGCTGGCAAATGGGAGTTCGAGGAGGTGTCTGATGAGTTCGCTGGGTTGTCTGAGTACGTCGATATCTCTGATAAGGAAAAGGAAGAGGCACAGGCAAGAACACGTCAGCTCAAAACATTGCTCCAAGATGCAACAAAGATGCTGTTTGGAAATGTCAAGGAACGTGCTGACAAGTTGCGTGCTGAACACGAAGAGCAGAAGAAGCGACTTGAAGGGAAAAAAACGTAAGACTGAGGACGGAGGAGTACCTGGCGGTGATTCTGGAGGGCAAGGAGCAGCAGCAGCAGCAGCTGCAGCAGCACCGTCGTCTCCAGGAATGCAGCCGTCTCCAGGGTCAGGCTCATCTACCTCAGCTTCTGGCTCGGGAAAGGTTGAGGGCCCAAATCTCCGCTCGCGTGTCCAGGGTATCCTCAGCAGCAATAAAGGTTGCGCTAAACCACCCCACCCGTTTGACAAGGGAGGCGCGGAATACCAGCAACGTTCCTGATGATATGTCGTCGTCTGCGCTGACTTCAAGGTCAGCTTCGAGAATACACATACGTCGTCATGCT